CTCCCAGCCCTGAACAGGCACGGCCATGCGGGATTCTCCACTCAGAGCCCTGTGTTGTGCTGTTGAAGAAATGACACTTCGCTTTCTGAAGGCTCCTCAGAATTTAAAAAGTCGATCATATTTACTGGATGAGTTTGCTGGGGCTGCCATAGCAAAGTACCACAAACCGGGTGGCTTAGACAGAGATTTATTGTCCCACAGTTCTGGAGGCTGGAAGTCCGAGGTCAGGGTGTTGGCAGGGCGAGTTCCTTCCGAGGCCTCTCCCTTTGGCTCGTGGGTGGCCACCTTCTCCCTGCGTCTTCACATGGTCTTCCTTCTGTGCACGTTGGTGTCCTCATCTCCTCTTCTTATAAGGTCATCGGGCAGACTGGATTAGAGTCCACCCAAATGACCTCATTTTAACCACTTTAATTATCTCATTTAATTGCCTCTCATTTGACCCTAGTTCCAGATACCGTCACAGTCTCAAGTACTGGGGTTTAGGATTTCAGTAGATGAGTTTTCAGGAAAGGACACGATAAAGTCCATAACATTTACCTATTTCCCTTTCAATCCATACAGTAACTTTTAACAATTTTAAATAGATTCCTAACAGGGGTTTTGAGTGGTTTAATAGCTTATCATGATGCACAGGACTATCCTTCAAATTTTACAGAAGAGGGACTGAGAGGGGAAGTGCCTTGCCCAAGGCCACACAGTGAGGTTAGCCATGGGACCAGGACTTGACTCCCAGCACAGTGCCCACTTCAGCACCCAGTCAGCTCCTGTCCTTGTGATAAAAGGTAGCAAATTCATTTTGAGCATTAATGAATAAACCCAGTGCTGCCATTTTCAAACGTGTGCACTAGAACCCTTGTGGAGGAGTCAGCTGGCGGGGAGGGGTCATTTTATGCTCTCGCGTCTCTAATAAGGTTAATTGCTCTGCCCAGCAGACTATGTGCCCAAACAAAATTAACAAACAACCTCAAGAGAGAGGCAGATTGGGGCATGACCCATAATAACAATTTCTCACTATGTTCAGCAACCCACTTGAGTCTTCCCAGCCGATCTCTGAAGGAGGATTCTTAATCCCATTTTGTGGGTGGAGACCTTACCTGGACCTAGGCTAGCAAACCATGGGTGTCAAGCGGAGCTTCAGAGCTGGGCTTTGTTGTTTGGTGATGTTCTAACCTTACCCATGTTCTTTGGTGACTCTGGGGTCTTCGGTGGGGGGGGGGGGGGGAATATGGGTAAGGCTGAGGAGGGGGGGCTTCTAGGAACCTCCAGTCAGTAACTGAGCAGCGCCACTTCCATCTGTTTTCATATGTCGGGAATGAGGCTTCCTGCAGGCTGGCCGCCCCAGGGAGCTCTCAGCTACACAGCAATGGTAACTGACACTTGTAGGGCCCTTAACCATCTGTTATAATCAATTCCACCCCATCTGAGTGGCCGGCGATATTCTTATCCACCCCATTTTTGAAAAAAATGGAGGCTCAAGAAGTGAGGTGTTTTAGCCAAAGTATCACACAGCTCTCAAGGCAGGGATGGGATTCAAATACAGGTCCTCCACTCCAAATCCTTGGAGGTGATGGCTTCCCTACGTGGAGACCCCACAAAGGGACAGGGATCCTGGACTCGGGGACCACGTGACCCAGATGGGAAAGGAAAAACCTGAAAGAGGGAGACCCAAGCCCTACTTTGGGGAAGTCCAGGGACTTCTGAAATGGTCAGAGGGACAAGAAAGTCCCCAAGACAGGAAGGAATGTCTCATGGGGGAAAGGCTGTGTCTGTGGCAGCCCTATGCAGCTGTCTGCCCTAAAGAGAATGCAGGAGGCAGAGGTGGGAGTGTCACCTGACAGTTTCCTGAGCGAGGGGAGCTGGGCCAATTTTTGAAAGAGGAGAGAAAATAGACAACAGCATTTTGGGCATGGAAGGAGGGCTAAGAATAAAGATTTCTGCCTAAGAAGAGTTCCGGAGAACTGTGCCTCTGGCAGGCCACCTGCTCCAGCTGCAAAGTTCTGTACATTTGGGTCTGTCTGCTTCCCCACAGCTCTTCTCCCTGGAGTGAGAGCTGTCCATTCACCTCCAGAGCCAGCCCAACCTCAGGCTCAGTGGAGCGAAGACAAGGACGAGCGTCAAGCCACCTGTGTCCATCACAGCTGCCCGGCTGGCTCAAGCAGGCTGCAGAGGACACCTTGGCAGGGAGTGCAGAGAGCTGAGTAGAGGCAGGCATTGGGGCTGGACTCCAAGCTCCCCCTTCACTTGGGAGCTCTTCTCCCCCATCAGACTGGAGGATCCCATGGGGCAGAGGCTGTGTTTCCCTCATCAGACTGGGAGCTCCCTGGGGGAAGCAGGGGCTGTGTCTCTCCCATCAGGTCAAGGGTTCTCTCACCACAGAGATCTCTTCTCTCCCAGCCTTAGGTGTGAAGAAAAACAGTACCCTCTGCGGTGGGAGGAGTGGCCTCATCAGCCCCTGGGCTCTGCTCTGCCTCCCCATGCCATGGTTTAAGGGACTAGTTGCTAGCAGACTGTGTTTTGGCTCAAGTCTTCTTTCTTAAAAACAGTCTTAGGAAAAACTCAACATTTTCATCTTCTCTTCCTCACTCCCACCCTGAATTTCAGTCTCCTGCTCTGATTGGCCTGTTAGCTGGGGCTACTGTCAGTAGGAATGGAAGCCAATGGGTCGGCCCAGGTTTAGCCACAGGGATTCTGGGTAATGTAGTTCTCTGCCTCCTCCCCGCCCCCACTGGGAGGAACCGGCTTCAGATCTCAAAGTAGCTTCTGTGATGGGGAGCCCTTCTCCTTTCTTCAGAACTGATGGGAGTAATAACATCATTGGAGTAAGAGAAACAGTTTTTCTTTATAGCCTGGCACAGTTTAGCGATTTTCTGAAAGAGCACGTTGCTTTGATACAGACGTGCAATACTGTTTCTGATAAGATTCTGTCCCCTCTCTGCTGGTGGAAGTTGCAGTTTCCCCACTGGGAGGGGCTGGGGCTGGGTGGGCAAGTAGGATTGGATAGTCAAGAGGCTGCTTGTGCTTTCTGTAGGGACATCACTATAGCAGTTTACCACATACTGGTCCAGGCTGGTGCTTATTTGTTTACCATGAAGGTTTACCAGTCCATAAAGAAATGAGAAAATAAGAAATACATAACTTGTTTGTATAAAGTTAAATGTATTTAAAGGGTTGTCCTTTGCTTTGATAATTTTTTTCCTACTTTTTGACATAAAAATGAGTGGAGACATGTGGAGACACGCCCAAAGGCTCAGTGCAGGCGGTGGGGGGGGGGGGGGGGGGGAAGCGGTCTCCCCTGTGGTGGGTCTCAAAGAGATTGCTTCTGTATTTGGGATATTCATAAATGCAGTGTTCCTGAGTCAAGATATGCTGCTCATTATCTGTGAGTTCGCAATTATCCGTGCTGAAGAAAGAGAGAGTTGGGGATCATATAGGGACCATTCAAAAATGGACATGAAGCAGGGAAGGAAAAGAATGGTTATTGAGGACTCATTCAGAAAGGATAATGGACTGGCTCAAGGTCACCCTGGTGGTTAATGTCGGGTCTGGGACTAGAATCGAGGTCTCCTAATGCCTAGTCTAGGGCATTTTCAAGTCCACTACCCGGATGGTAGTGATGCTGAAAATGGCGACACTGGCCGACCGCTGAGCACACAGCGAGCACCTCACGGGTGTTACCTCCTTCCTTCCCATGGCGCAGGCCCAGGTAGGTTGGGAGTTCACCTATTTACCAATGGACGGTTCAAAGCTATTTTAGGTTCAATTCAAGGCCCATTCACCAAGGGCCCTGCTAAGTTCCATGCCAGGGGCCAAACTAGGGACAGGGAATGGAACATGAACAAGTCAGGGTTCCTGCCCTTAAATGGCTCAGTGGGGCAGCATGTGCAGTGGGGCGACTTCAGTAAAACATGTCGAGTCCCACGACAGATTTATACCTAAGGGGTATGGGGGGGCTCACTGGGACACTAGGGCAGATTTCGGTTGGGGGGGGGAGTGAGGGAGCAGCTTATAGAAGTCTTCCTGGAGGGGCTGATAGCTGAGACTTGTTCCCCCCAGGGAGGAGTTGCAAGCCAGGTGGAGAAGGGGGAGGGTAGAGATGGGGGGCTCTGGGGCTCTGGGCAGAAGGAATGGCATGGCAAAGCCCCCGAGGTGCAGAGGCAGGGGAAGTGGAGGGACCCAGCAGAGGAGGAGAGGGTGCTTACAGGCTTGAGTGTCGTCCAGGGAGCCAGGGAAGGTTTTTAACCAGGAAATGGCATGAAACTGTTCATAAATTATAAGGTGCTCTGTGGCGGCAGAGGAGGAATTAGAAGGAAGGAGCGATGGGGTGCACCAGGGGCAAGGAGACCAGCCAGGGCTCTCTCATTCTAGACCAGCACCAGCCGTGAGGCGCCCTGAGCTGGGATCCTGGGGAGGGAGAGCAGCAGCCTCAGAGATGTTTAGGAAATTGGGATCACAGGACCCAGGGACTGGTTGGGTGTGGGGTGAAGGGCAGAAAGGTGTTGGGGGGCTAGGTTTCCCATCTGGATGACCAGATGGTTGGTAGGGTTAAGACAGGGACTCTAGGAGATCAGGTCGGGGTGTGTAGCTGACAGGCTCAGGGTGGGACAAGATGAGCTTGAGTGGCTTATGGAACCCATCACCTTCTTGCGCCAACTTGTGTAAGTCCCAGCTCTGCTGCCCTCTCTACAGCCAGCCACGCGGGGAAGAGAAGGGGGCAGGTGGTGCGCCCCCTGGGACCCGGCGAGCCCACGGAGAGCAGAGCCTATGGGATATTCCAGGAAAGGAAGAGGTGTGCCCTGCCCCTGTCCTGAGCCCTGGCCCAGGGGACAGTGAAGGGACAGCCCTGCCACCACTGCCGCCATGTGGACAGAGCCTCGTGAAGGGCCCGTACAGAGAACACTTGTCCTGGCCTCGTTTCCCACCTGCCTGGGAGACAGCGGAGAAGTGGGTCATCTCACAACTGGGTCAGCATTTGGGGGGCTTTCTCTCTCTCTCCTGTGCTGACTCAGATAGACGGTGCTCTAAATAATTATCATTGTATGTCACTCATTTGTTCTTTCCAGCGATTGCCTTGTTCATCCTTATCCTTGGTGCTGGGCTAGACGCAAGATGTGCGGAAACTCCTAAGACAGGCCTGCCCTCAAGGCACTCGCAGACCGCAGGGAGACAGGAATAACAAGCTCTGTGATAAGGTGAGCCTTCAGACACTCACTTCCGGGGTGTTCTTGACCTGGGGGGTGCCTTGGGGGTACTTAAGAACACAGGTTCTGTAACCAATAGGCTGTGGTTGGATCCTGGCTCCTTTCCGCTCACGAACTATGTGACCTTGGGCAAGTTTCTTAACCTCTCTGGGCCTTTATTTTCTATCTACAAAATGAGGATACTACAGCATCCACCTCCTAGGGTTGTTGTCACAATTAAATGAGTTAAGGTCTGAAAAGAACTTTAAACTGTGCCTGGTACAGAGTGAGTGCTCCACAGTGTTAGCTGTTATTACTTCGATTATCATCATCTTCTTCATCACAAACTCAGAAGGAATCTGCTGGGGAGGAGTTTGCACAGAGGAGGAGCTGCTGGGGAAAGCTTCATAGCGCATCTGACGTTTCAGTTGGGCAGGAAAGGTGACATTTTGCTAAGGGAAAAAATCAGGCACAGGGAAGCTGACCCAGGTGGAGGGGCAGGAGTGAGGGCAAGGGAGTATGGAGATGCGACCGCGTCCTGGAGAATGGCAGGCCTCTAGGCTCCCTGGAGTGTGCTGGTGTCGGGGAGCCAGGACCCTGGGAGGGAAGGGGAGGACCTGATTGGGAAAGGCTGGAATGCCAGTGAAGGAATTGGGGCTTTATCCCACAGGCAAAGCCATCCTGGAAGAGTTAGTGTTAAGAGAGGTGATGTGACCAGATTTGCCTTTGAGGATTGTGGTTGCAGCTGTGTAGAAGATGGGTCAGAGAAAGGGGGCTGCCCTGCTGGGCCAGGTGAGAGATGGCAAGGGTTTGCGCTAAGGTCGTGAGGGGATCATGGGGGAGATGTTTAGGGGCTGTGCCAAGCCCTTGGTTACTGTGAGGCTGCAGGGACCCCAACCCCGCTTATAACCAGGAAAGATGTCAGAAGCATGAGGTGAGACGATTGGGCCTCCAGCTGCCCTAAGCAAAGGCCCTGGGACAAGAAGACCCTTGGGATCTCTCTACTAGCATCGTGGGCTCCAGAGCCGCTCTCTGCAGGCCGTCAGGGAGCCATGGTCCATGCCTGGCCCTGTGCAGCACTCTGGTGACAGCCCTGGGTCTGTGGCACAGGGCACAGATGTCACTGCAAGGGTGATGGATTTTGGAGGCCGAGAGACCTGGCCTCCAGGGTTGGCTGGGCCACTCACAACTAGCTGTGTGACCCTAGCCAGTCTCTTTACCTCTCTGAGCCTTGGTGTCACTTTTATAAAATGAGGACAATAGCAGCAACATCAGAGGGTCATTTCAGGATTAAATGCATAATGATAAAAGTGCCTAGCACCACGCCTGGCTCCTGGGACATGCTCAGTAAGTGGTGGGTGTTGGTTGCTATTCTATCCCCAGCATCCCTGGCCCTTGTGCTCCCCTCACTCCACCCCTCACCCCCCTGGTCAGCACTCCCTCTGTCCTCCCCGTTCCTCACCACGTCATGTGGAGATCTAGTATTTGAAGATGGATTTCTCGCTGACAAGGGGACAGGTGTGTGCCCTCCCTGCACTGGTCCAGACCATCATCCATTGACCCTCTCCTCTGCCTGAGACATGGGGTGACCTGCGCTTTACCCTCTGGGGTGTTGCAGTACCCAGGCGGAGTCAAGAAGAGTCTCTGTCTGGGCTAGAATCTTTGAAGTTCTCGGAGGCAGAGGGATGGACAAATTGACTCCAAGACCCCCCGACCCTGAGACTTTGCCTAAGTGCCTCCCCGCCCTCCCCTCCTGCCTCCTGGCTCTTAGCCCGGCTCTAGAAACAGATTCCGCTGCATATGGTGAGGGAGCGACTGCTGCGCACTGCCCTTGCATCTACTTCTAATCAGTATGGGGCTGGGGAAGCCATGGCTGGATGCGCCGCGTCTGCACAGCCCGCCTCCCCCTGCTGCACAGATTCTCGGAGCTGATTGAAATGTGATGAGTGGGCTTAGGAAGGAGGGAGGGAATACAGAGCTCAGACCACTGCTGTCGTCCTGGGTCAGTGCCTGTGCTTCCCTCCCTCCACCTGGCACTCCGCCCCCTTCCACGCTAGACTGCCAAACCAGGCATGACCCTTCCCCACCACCCACATCTGGGAGCAAAGCCAGACACCTTCCTCTCTCTGTGCCCCCGCCTCACTCCGGCAAAGCTGGCTGCAGAGCAGCGTCCAGGGACTCCGACCACCCCGGGAAGGGGAGAGAGCTCAAGCAGCCTGCTGCTCAGAAGCTCTTCCAGATGCACACCCCGCTACGCCAGGAGGAAGCTCCCTGCAGGAAGCACAACCAGAGCCCCGGCTAGAACTCCACCTCCTGGCTCTGTGCGGGTCCTTGTGCCCTGTAACTCTCTCTCCTCTGTCAACAGCCCTGGCCAAGCCCCACCCAGGAGATATGCCATGGAAACGGGATGCCTGGGTGGCAGGGATCTTTGAATGGTTGACCCCATATTACGTCTACCTGCCTGATGAAGGAAAGCCAAAAGGTAAGGGCCGAGCAGCCAGGATTGTTTCCTTAGAGAAAGGAGGTTTGAGAGACTGAGAAAGAGACAGTGGACTTGATGGGTGGTTGAAGAAAGCGTAAGAAACTCAGCTGTGAAGTTTACTCATTCATTCACTCACTCACTCACTCCAGTGTTAATTGGATACTTGCTGTATCCAGGCACTGTATTAGGGGTAGGATGGGGCACCATGCAAGCCAGCAGACACGTCCCGTCCTGTGCTCATGAAGCACTCCCATCGCAGAGGACAGGCACCCTTCAAGTTCAGGATGAGTCCGGTGGGTCAGGGGAAGGAGAGTGAGCTCCACAGGAGGGAAGGTCCATGTGAGGCAGGTGGACGCAGGAAAACAGAGTCACTTAGGCGTTTATAAAGGCAGTGACAACACAGGAAGTTGCCTAACAGGTGATGGAAGGTTAGCAACTGCAGGAAGCAGCTACCACTCCTGCCAGAGGGACAAAGGCAGAAGGCAGTGGGATGAGATCCCGCTAGGGTCGCTTCACGTGGAAAGTGAAGCCACAGTGAGTGTGTCCCTGAAGGAGACGCTGCAGCCACTGCCCCTGAGGCAGAGAGGAAGGATAGAGATGCGCCATCTCTGCCCTTTCTCCTGCCTTCCACGTCCCTGCCCCAGGAGCCAGGACAGGGGAGGCCTACAGGCGTCAGCCTCACTGGGCCCACTCCCTACAACACAGAGCAGAGCAGGGCAGGCGGAAGAGGGATCTGAGGGCAAAGGGACTCAGCCGAGACTCGGGGGGAGGAGCAAGGAAATTTCCCACAAGAAGTGATATCTAAGTAGAGGCCTGAAATGCATATAGACGTTAATCGGAGAGGAAGACCAGGGAAGGTCATGTAATATGGGGGACTCAGGTGCTCGTTTGAAGGTCTGGGGGCTCAAGAGGCCATGTTGGCAGGAGGCGTGAGAAGGGCGGCTTTGTGGAGCAGGGAGATTGGGGCTGGGGAATCAGGGGAAATGTGGTGAGAGAGAAGGCTCTCGGGGAAGCGGGAGGAAGGCAGTGAAGGGCCTTGGAAGCAAGTCAGAAAGGTTGGGCATTCATGCAAAAGCCGTGGGGAGCCACCACTGGTTTTGAGCAGTGATGTGATGGGATCTGGGCTTCTGGAAGGTCATTCTTCCTGTAGGGAATGGGGGGCTGGGGAGTGGAGTGGGAGATCAGAGGCAGGCAGGTGAGTAAGGAGAACAGGGCAGTGATCTGGGCAAGGGAGGAGGTGGAGGGAGGGGCTGGGAGAAATGGAGGGGCATCAGGAGTGTTTAGGGGAGGGAACTGACAGGACTTGGCGAGTGGCTGGTTAAGGAGGGAGAGGGGTTCAGGGTGGACACCCATGACTATGGGTCGGACAACTGCGGAGGTGGAAATACTTTCTGTGGAGGCAGAAAGCACAGAATGAAGAGCACTGCGGGGAATGCGAGCTGACTTGGGTGTGAGATGCTTGTGAGGTGTTCCAATAAATGTGGCCAAAGTGGAATTATTTTTTCTGGACGTGTCTGTGTTTATCTGGGTCTCCATGAGGAGGCCTTCCATGGCAGCCCAGGACTCCAAGAGCCGCCTTCTGGGGGCTAGACCAAACGTGTCTTCATGCTGAGAGGTCATGTTCTTTTTCTGCTCCTCCTCCTCATTTTCAGCCCCCTGTGCAACCTGAGAGGCTCACCTCTAAGGAAGCCACAGTTCAGGCTCTTTCTTCCAAACCCAGTTCTCACCCAGTCTGAGCTGTACCGGGGCCAGCAGCCCCACTTTAACCTCCGGTGTGAGCTGGGATCTGAGACGCTCTCAACATATCCTTTCTCGCTTTGCCTCTTGTCAACCATTGCTTAGCAATTTGTACAAGCCAGAATCACACAGCATCATACAGCAGAGACTAAGGGTGAACAAGAACCCACACGTGGAGCAATCACACAGCTGCGAGGAGGAGACAGGCCATCACGGGAGGCGGAAGGAACTGGAGCAAGGCGCTCCCCCTCTCTGGCCCCATTTTTCTTATATTTCAAACATGTGTATTAGACTCGACAGTCTAATAATCACCGCCTCTTCCTGCAGTCTCTAGGAGCCTGGGTTTGTCCCAGAAGCAATAGCTCAGCCTCACAACATGAACCAATGGCAGTGCCACACTCATTTCACTAATGGGTGATTTACCAATGGGCTCTGGCCAATGAGGCACGTACTAGTATCCTAGGGTGCCATGACAGACCACCACAAACTGGGGCCTTGAAATAACCTAAATTTATTCTCTCACAGTTCTAGGGGCTAGAAATCTAAAATCAAGGTGTCAGCAGGGCCGTGCTCTCTCAAAGGCCGTAGGGGAGAATCTGGTCCATGCCTCTGTCTTAGCTTCTGGCATCACTGGCAATCCTGGGCATTCCTTGGGTTGGCTGCATCTCTCCAATCTCTGCCTCTGTCATCACCTGGCATTCTCACTGTGTCTCTGTTTTCACACGGCCATCTCTCCTCTGTATCTTTTTCCCTCTTCTTATAAGGACACTAGTCATAGTGGATTAAGGGCCCACCTTACTCCACGATGACCTCATCTTAACTCATTATATCTGCAAAGACACCATTTCCAAATAAGGTCACATTCTGAGGTACCTCAGCATATCTTTTGTGGGTGAGAATTTAACCCACAATAAGACACGATGAATAATAATAATAATAATAATAATAATAAGACATAGGTCTTTGGGAAAGGCTTTCCTCCCTGGTAAGGCAGGAGGATCAAGGAAAGTCCACCAACATGCCTGCCTCCTGTCTTTGACCTCATCTCAGGAAGACATGATGCTGAGAGCTGTGGCCATCTTGGGCCCCTGACAGGTGCGTCTCTTGCTGGGGTTGGCAGCGAAGAAAGATGGGAAAGTGACTGAACCACTGCCCCAACCCTGAAACTTCCTATCTCTCTACCTCCAATTGAGATAAATGTGCAGAAACCACATTTTATTGGGGGTTCTGTTACTTACAGGCAAACACATCCTATCTCACCGAGTGACCCCTAATTTCCCTGCTCAGTTTAAGGAAATGTAAGAACCATGGGATTTCAGACCTGGAGGAGACTTCGGGAGTTATCTAATCCAACCTCTTCATTGAATGAATGAGGAGACTGAGGTTCAGTGGGGACAGAGACTCCCTCAGGGCCACATCACAGGTTAGGGACCCAGCCAGGACCCACGCTAGGTTCTCTAGACTCCCAATCTCCCACCATGTTTCTTGGGCTCCTTGTACTCGTGTATCACTCTCTCTGTAGGGAAAAGAGGGTGCTGTTTGGAAGGGGGGCTGCTGAGCTGTCAGAGGAAGGAGAGGAATGGTGGGGCAAGAGATAAGAAGGATTCCGAGGGGAGCATGCTGGAGCTCGCCATGCTGGTGAGCCATGTTCAGCCTCAGGGATACACATTTATTCTAATCACACGCTCTGTGCAGGGCTTGCTGCTCTGAATTATGCACCTCGAAAGGGCCTTTCATCTCACCAAGGGTTTACTGCTGGCCTTCCTGGCAGCTGGTGCTGGCCTATGATTTAGCTTCCAGAGCAATTTGGGGCAAAGAGGTGGAGAAGGCAAATGGAAACACCTGGGACCTTTCCTCTCCTGAGGACTCTCCTCACCTGCATCCTTCCTGCCGTCCATCAAGGCTGGTGGGACCGGGCAGCACGAGAGGGAGGGAGGCAGTGATCCCCCCTCACCTGGTTGGTCTGGGAACCTGGAAGGGACTCCCATGATCATGTACCTGGCAGCTTTCCAAGAGTGCAGAGAAATCTAATTTTGTCAGCTTGATTGAGTGAAGATCTGTTAAATTCAAAGGACGTGGAACTCCAGAGTGCTGGATGGAAGGCACTGGAGGCATTTCCTAGTCTAGGCTGCTCATTTTATAGGAGCGGACACCAAGGCCCCAAGGGGCTTTAAAGAGGCTTGCCTCGGAGCTAGAGCTGGTCAGAATCCTAAACTTTAGCCTCTCCACCTTGCCCACTTATGTGTGAAACAGAGCTGGCACTTGAGTTCAGTCAACTAATATGTTTGAGCCCCGGTGTTGACAGCTTCCGACATAGGCTCCCTGATCTTCACCTCCTGGCATTCATGCCTCTGTGTAATCCCCTCCCCTTGAGTGTAGGATGGATCTAGTGATTACTTCTAACCAATAGAATATGGCTGAAGTGATCAATATTACTTCCGTGGTTAAGTTACAAAAGACTATGACTTCCCTCTTACTAGCTCTCTCTCTCTTCCTGGCCCCTCTTCTCACGCACTTGCTGTGACGAAGCAAGCTGGAGAGGCCCACATAGAAAGAAGCTGTGGGCCACCATCCGCCATGGCCAGCAAGGAACTGAGAGCCTCAGTCCAGCAGCTGGGGAAGAACTGAGTCCTGCCAATAACCACAGAGTGAACTTGGCAACAGATCTTGACCCAGCTGAGCCTTCAGGTGAGACCACTGCCCTGCCAACAGACTTTTGAGAGATCCTGAGATAGAAGACCCAGTTAAGCTATGCTTGGATTCCTGACCCACGGAAACTGGGGGGAAATAAATGTGCATTGTTGTAAGTTGCTAAATTTTTTAATGTAACAATAAACAACTAAGACAATCCCCTATTCTAGGATAATATTTAGGATTATATACGTAGCACATTCTAGGCAGCATCAGGAATGAAAAAAAATGGTTAATGTGGCTTTGTAGGTGCTTATAGTTTGATGACCTAAGATATAGCACGTGAAAGGACAATAATGTTTTATTGAGTGTTTTCTCTGTAGCAGGGATTTTACACATATTAAGTTTTAAAATGTTGTTAATCTTCACAACATCCTATGAGGCCAATTATTAGCCCCACTTTACAGATGAGAAAAGAGAGGTACAGAGAGGTGAATAACTTACCCAGGTTCACACAGCTGGTAAGTGATAGAACTGGGATTTGAACCCAGACAGTCTGGCGTCAGAGGAAAACAAGACAGCATTCCTTCATTTAGAAAGCACTTGAATACCTCCTGTGTGCTTGCTGTTGGTAGTTGCTAGTCGCTGAGCTTATAAAGATATTCCCCTGTTGTGAAGGAGCCAGTGGCTCTGCCCCTCACTAGCAATGACCTTGAACTGGTTACTTAACCTTGGTATCCTCATCTATAAATGGGGATAAGGGGATCAACAACCCACACAAGGTTGAAGTAAGGTGAAATGAGTTAGTATTTATAAAGCGCATGCTATAGTGTTATGTGTGTTAAATAAAAATAAGTAAATAATGGCCGTGCTGGCCACGTCAGCAGAAAGTGACAATTGTGTGTGGAAATTGCAGGGCCTCTGTCTGCTCAGGGTGCACTGGGAGCACAGAGGGGGCGATATCCTTCACCTTACATCTTCTGGACGTGTCCTTTTAGGACCCGGGCTTACTGGTGGGCTTCCCACGCAACCTGTGGATTTTTCAATACTTCTTATTCCCTCATTAAGATAATTAGCAATTCTAAGATTGGCCTTCTGCTGAGATGCCCAGCTCTTAACTGGTGTTCCCTTTTCAGCCTAAGCATCTCAGGATGACGGACTTTCACAAACAATCTTTCCAAGTCCCAGGATTCACTTGTACTTCTGACTCCCCTCCCTACAATGCACAGATGCTCGGAAGTCATGGCCTACTCCCCATCCCTCCCACTTTTTGGAAAGTTCCTCTCTGTTGGCCAGAACAGCAATCTCTCTCATTACTTTGCCTTAAGTACAGGAGACCAAATCATTTGCAACAGAGGAAATACAAAGACTCAAGTGCCAAAATCCATCCCACAGATAACAAGAGCTGTTGTTGGCCAGGATCAGTGCCAAAGGCAGTCGCCAAAGAGTCCTTCAAGGAGGGGATGGGGCTCCGGCTAGGCCTTAAAGAGTAGTAAGGGAAGGGAGAACAGAGGGGATAGGGGTGGCCATGCAGGGAACAGCTAGCTCCACCAGGGTGCTGTGAAAGGTGTTGTGCATGTCCCTAGAGCTTATTCACATTGGGTTTTCATCTCTTTGGGGGCACATGAGAGGATTACACCCCACGCCCACACTTGCTGTTATGTGTGGGTCATGTGACTCAATCTGACCAACGGGTTGTAAGGGAACTACTGTATGTCACTTATAGGCTGGAGCACTTAATGGGCGGTGCAAATGCCTTGATGCTTTGTCGTCCTGCCATGGTGACAATGGAAGAGCCACCAGACTGGAGGAGCTGAGGACACTGAGCTATCATATGGGGACAGCTGCCCTGGAGAGCCGCCCAGACTCACAGCTGACTTTGTGTGAGTGATAAATAAATCCTGGTCATATTAAGCCACTGAAATTTTGGTAATGCTTTCCTTGTGATGACCTGGTCTTTCCTGATGTCCACAGAAGGGTGGGTGTTGAGCAGCAGCACATTAGTTATGGGGACCAGAGGCAGCCTGGTGTGGGGCATCAGAATCACCTGGGGAGACTTCAAACCACCACAAAAATTCTAATTCCGTAGGGTGGAGCCTGGGCTTGGGTGTGTTTTCAAAAGCCATCCAGATGAGCCCAAAGTGCCAGCAGGGTGGAGAACCACGGAAGTGCCCATCTTCACCCCTTATTGTGACGTAATCTTAAGCAGACTGCTCTATTCTTCAAGCCCTGTGTTTTGGGGTGTAAAAGGAGAAGAGTATTTTTTTTTTTAAGATTGGCACCTGAGTTAACACCTGTTGCCAATCTTGTTTTTTGTTTTTCTTCTTCTCCTCAAAGCCCCCCAGTACCTAGTTGTCTATTCTAGTTGTGAGGGCCTCTGGTTGTGCTGTGTGGGACGCTGCCTCAGCATGGCCTGACAAGTGGTGCCATGTCTGGGCCCAGGATCCGAACCAGCGAAACCCTGGGCCACCGAAACCGAGTGCGAGAGCTTAATCACTCGGCCCCAGGGCCGGCCCCAAAGGAGAAGAGTATTATTGGACAGATGGGGCTCAAAGCTGGCACTGCACATACTGTATGAGAGAGGGCTTTATAAACTGTAAAGGGCTAGACAAAAGAAATTTTATTCTTGGTGATATGAAAGGCCTGAAAAGACAGGCGTTCAGACTCCACCCGGTGAATTGTTCCCTTTGAGAATGTCTGTGGCTGGTACTTTTAGTCCGCGGTGAGCTGCCCCGGCAGCCAGGAACCCTGTCTGGTATGTGTTGGTGCAGCGTGGACGGAGGGCTCTGGGTCTCTAACCGGACTGTGGCTGCAGCTCCCATCTGGTCTCCTTCCTCTGAGGCTGTTGTGATATTTTATCCACTGATTGGATGAACAACCGGGCACCTGTTCTCCTTCAGCTAGCAAAGATTTGACAGCATCCTTCTTCCACTAACAAATATATCAATTTTTATTTTTATCAAAGTTTTATATATATTTAAGTCAAACAAGTCTATAATGTAGAGGAACAGTGACCAGCTGCAACATTCCCCCCAGAATCTCTCTCCTCAGGGTCAATCCTCCAACTCTTTACCTTTTTCCTCTGCTACTTATTTCCCTGTTACTGGCTTTTTCTTGATTTTTTTCCTTTGAGACATTGTCTATTGACTTCCTACTATGGAGTTTGAGCTTTTATTACATTATGTTATAATTACTCTCCCAACAGCAGAATCACACTCCCCACCAGTTGCCCAGCAGAATTTTATCACAACTTTTGGTTAAAAATGAGTATTTGATGTTTACATTAACATTTGTGATTATATAAATACTGTTTAGAAAAGAGCTATGTTTAATAACATTTTCCATCTTGGACTATTTTTAATTTTCTTAGAGCTAATAATTGCTCTATTACGTTTATTCCTTTACTCACATTTTAGACTTTGGGGAGGGATCAGAGCTGAATGAATGTGTTCTATACACAATGTTCAGCTGGAAACTGTAGCATCGCATTCCACTATGTAAAAGAGTAAAATTTACAAATGAGTCCTTAAGATGCCCCCACCCCCGCCCAAACTTTAGGAGCAGCAGGCAAAATGTCTGTGACCTTTTCACCCTTGCCTTCTCATTTCTAGTGAAGAGTAATAGAAATCTCTCAGTTGTACAGAATAGTGTATGTTTTCAGAGTCTCGGGAGCAGGGTCTATGTGTTTTTTTTCTTTATCTATAAGCTCCCTGAGGGCATGGGTTTTATCTTATCAGAAGATTGGGGTCCCTGAGGGCCTGGCTGGGTCTCCTCCCTTCTCTGCATCTCTCGTCCTCCAGCCCCACCTCAGTGTCTAAGAAGGGGCCCTGCATCTGGGAGTTGGAGACTACTCCTGGTATTGTGAACCCTAGGAGCTGCTTCCCTCCCTGTCTCTTTTTCTGCTGATGACCTCGGTCCTTCAGGAAGCAAAGAAAACAAGCTCCTCAGAGACATCCTGAAGGGCTCTGTCAGGTCCATCATCCGCACTGTGCTCTGGACGGTGACTCTGTCCAGGATGGACCCCGTCGGTGGACTCTGAGCCTTTTGAAGACATCAGGTCTCAGGCCAGCTTGCTCCCAAGGATGCCCCTTCCCTCTCTTTGCCTTTGCATATAGCTTTTCTTTCTCATTGACATTGTCTGTGGAGAGACACTGTGGATGGCATGAATAATAGATTAGTAAATTGGAGTCTCTCCAATGAGTGAGACTTGCCACCCAGTGAGGACATACATTATGTAACCAGCAAATTACAGTGGCATCAGAGACAACGTGTCTGCAGAAGAGCGTAAGATCAGACGAGTGAGAGCAGCCAGGAGGAAGGCCACTTTGCAGGAGTGTCTGCAGGGAGCCACGCTCTGGGTGGGTTGTTTTCAGCTGCCTTCTCTCATTTAAGCCCTACAGTGACCAGTGAGAAGGCGCTGAAATGTCCCTGTGGAGAGAGAACGGGCTGGTCAAAGCTGGAGCTGACTGGGGCTGAGGCCTGCTAAGTTCTGGCACCCGGCCTGTACGCGGCTGGTCTGAGTTGGTCATGGCTGTGCCACAGAAGGCCTGACAGAAAAGGTGTCCCAAAGGAGACAGGAAAATGGGAAAACCAGACCTAGAAGTTATCATCTCTGGAGGAGGATGCCACTGGCCATTTCCTCATGTGACACTGGGTTTCTCCACCAAGACCCTTGGAAGGTGAGTTATGGCCAGAAGCAGATCACCCATGTGCCCACCCCATCTCCAGTGGTGATAGCCTGGCGGTGCCTCATGGAGGGAATCCCAGACTGCCTTACGTGGCAGGGCACTAGAGGCCGGCCGGGTGTTGGTTGAAAGGCTTTCTGAGATTAGCGTCTCAGAGGCGGGAGTCTAGCTTGTGGCAGCCGTGACAATGCACCTCTGAGATCTCTTCTACAGACAGCATATTGATGGATGGCCGAAGCCACTACATCCTGAGTCCACCACTGCTTTGGCGCCAAGGCCACACTTCCCACGGGCTGCTCCCAGCCAGTGACTGAGTGTGGCTGGGACATGAAAGCAGACCCATTCCTGTGAGATGGGGAAGGGGAGATGGTGGGCAAGCTCCCACACCCTGCATTGGCCTTATCCCATGGGCTTAACTTTCTTCAAACTGCACTGAAGTCTAAGACTGTTCCACCCAAACTTCCCTCCTTCCCATGCTCCCCTACAGGGCTCAGACCTGCATTGCAATTTGATGGTCTCCCAGCCTCCTGCAGCTTTCTCTCCATTGTCCCTCACAAGCATATCTGCTCTCCTGTAATCTTAGCATCTGCTTCTCAAGACCTAGACTAATGCAGGGGCTTATGCTCTAACGCACGCCTGGATCAGGCAGAAATGTTTGCCATCTAGGCACTGTCTGAGATGGAAGTGACAGATGGCAAATGTACTGTGTTTATCATCCATCGTGAACTATAACTTGATTGAACTGGGGCCCTGTCCTGGAGATGGCAAAGACACTGAGGCTGCAGTGTATATGGCCTGTGTAGTTAAGGCAAAGAGGAGTAGGAGATGAGTTCAGAGAGATGAAGGGCCCCGATCAGGTAGGGCCTTGTGGCCATCTGAGGACATCATTCCCAGCCTGAAGCATAGTAGCCCCTCCTGGAGGCCAGAACTCAGCCCTCTCCTTTTGTCCTTCCCGGTCTTGTCCATCAGAACCAGGACCTGCTCCTCATCGGTCAGTTTCTCCAAGGCTGCAGCATCAGAAGTGGCTTGTTTCCTCCTAAGACCCCTTCTGCTGCTCCTGAATCAGCAGTGGCCAACTGTTCTATCATAGGTGGGATGCAAGTCTGGCACTTGTTGAGGGTTCAAGGCTAGGAGTCCAAATCTAGAATTCATGGCCCTCCTCTGCCATTGATTAGCCCAGGGACCTTGGACAAGTTAGTTGCCCTCTTGAAACCTCAGTTTCCTCATCTATACAAAGGTGATCTGATAATAGTCGCTGACACTCATTGAGAGTCTGCTAGGTACCCGGCACCATTGTAAGGGCTTGACATGTAGTATGGGAGCCATGCCTGTGGGTGGCTGCTTCATGATCCCCATTTTATAGATGAAGTAGTTAAGGTACAGAGAAGTTAAGAAACCAGCTGGAGATCACAAGCTGGTGACGAGCACAAGTGGGCTGCAGACAGGTGGTCTTGCCTCCTAACTCCTGGTATCCTGCCTTTGACTGCTCATTTCGTGGAGCTGCTGGCAGAACCACACGTCCTTTAAGAAATGTCCCCAGTCCCGACAAACATCAGGTTCTGACTCCTGAACCCTCTATGACAGCGTGTGCACATGAGCACTTCATCCTTTTATGTGTCGTTCAGTAGAAGCATAGTTACTGGGGACCTCCTGTGTGCCAAACAGTGTGGCAGGTGCTGGGATAGAGCACTGAACAGGCCACTTGTCCTTGACCTCCCAAACCTTGCCGTCCTGAGGGGGAGACAGCCATTAAACAGACAATTATGCAGATGATTAATTATAGTCGGGGGCTGTGCTATAAAGAGAAGCAGAGGGTGCAGTGAGAAAATGGAACAAGGTGATCTGGCCTGTGGGGAGTGAGTGACCCCGGGACTCAGCCCCTGCCGGCCTCAGTGTGATCCTGGGCTGAGGGGGAGACACAGCCCCGCCCTCAGGGAGCCCCAGTCTGAGGGGGGACGCGGCCCCGCCCTAAGATAGCTTCTGATTGAGGGCGTACAACTGCTACTCCCAGGCAAGTCCCAGTCTGAGGGAAACAGAAAACCTAGGAAACAGTTTGAGAGCTCTCACACATGCTAAGCAACGTTGTAGCCCCTGAGCCCTGGGCACTGGAGAGAGACATGGCAAAGGCCGGGTCCAAGAGGAGACCTCCAGGTCCGGTGGGGTGGCCTGATCCCTCCTCTGCAGCCCTCCAAACTTGGAGGCTCAGGCTAAGTTCTGGCAGCACATGGT